AAATATTGCCACGTCTGACACGCTCTTTAGTTGGCACAGCAAAGAAAAGCATGCAGCAGCATATGAGTATATGAAATGGTATTTAATGTGCGGAATAATACCAGCTTGTTATTGACTAGAAAAGACAGAATACGCCTGATCCATAATATGGAAGTGAAAGATCTTTCGATTCATTTCAAATTCGTGTCACTTTTTTTCTGCTGTCAGTTATTATTTTTTTTATTATTTTTCTCTTAAATTGCTACATATATGAAACTGGCTAAATATATACACTGCCGGAACAAGGTATTGGCACAGCAAATTTTTCACAATATATGCAACAATTTTTATTCTAATATTTTTCCGCCAATTTTGTATAAAAATATGGTTCATTCAACAACAGAAAACATAAAATCATTCCTAAACTTTGTGCAGAACTTGCGAAAATTCAGCAAATTTTCATAAAAATTTTCAACTTTTCAGATTTTCAGAATTCTATACCATTTCCAAAATCTTTTTTTCTCATATAAAATACATGGAAAACTTTCGAGTGCTTTGAACGACCTCTAAATAATTTTCGATTTCGAAATAAAAAAAACAGGAATATGTTTTTGCGCTATAGAACAATCTTAGGGGGCAAGAGCATTAAAATTCCGACTTTAATTTTTCACGTGCATTTGTGGAGCACCCTAATGTACATACTTATCCCCAAAAAAACCTACCTTGTCGCATTTGTATGCGTTTCAAAGTGAATTGTGGTAACGGAGTCATGTAGAGTTATGTGCACTTATCAAATCCATTAGTGTGCACCACACGCAAATACTATACAACTAAAAGTACATGCATACACACATACATACCGTATGGGATATCCCTGCTGGAAAAAGCCAAACCAGCCAGTAAAAATACTAGTTCATTAACTAGTGTGTGCCATTGCGGAATAAACATATGTACATACATATAGAAAAAAACTTGTGCTATATAAAAAAAAATAATAAACAATTTTTTTTTTAATTAACTTTAAAAATTACAATAAAACCCCTAAATAAAAAGTAAAAAAAAAAATAAAATAAACAGGAAAATAATAAATAAAAAAAATTTCTCCTGTGCCTGGAATTGAACCTTGGACCTCAGGAATACCACGTCAGTGGGTTGCACTGTCGTCCGATGCGACTGTTGGAGTGCTGCGAGCAAAATGGAATACTTATGATTTTCACGCAGGATGAATTGGCAGACTAAAGCATCAACTGGTATGATGCTACTAGTAGATGCTGATGCATAGCCTGAAAATTTACATCTCGTAGGACATCGCCATGTTAAAAATACCAGTCGCTAATATTGAAAAAGAATAGAACCTGAACTAGTTGGGCTGAAGCGCAAACTAATAGAATTCTAGTTCACAACTAGTAGCTCTCCCTGCAGGGATGTGTCTATCACACACATTTATAGATCCATGTATCTGCAGAGTAGTAGCACATTTGCCCATGTGTTCGCATATTTATGTAGCTAAGAAGTAAATATGCCTGGGTGCAGATGAACGACGTTTAAACCACGTTGGTGAAAGCTAAATTGTGAATACATATACAATTGGTTGTTGGTGACACAGCTGACATTGTCAGTTTGCCCCGTAATTTTACGGATTCAATAAATTTATCTATTGTTATCTGCTATCCTGTTGTCCCATGGCAAGCACAAGTACACAAGCGTGGGATAGTCCAAGCGGCATACACATACACATACATACATATGTAGGTCATATGTATGTATGTACAGTGGTGGGAAAATAAATGCGGAACCGACATTTTAACAACTTTTGACCATTTTTCGTTTGGTTATGTAATGTTTATTATATTTTTTTAAAAGTATCGCTCACTAACTAACAAAAATCATGTAAGCCCGAGTTTCAGACTTTGTATACAAATTAGGTATGCAGTTTTGTAGCTCGTTAAATTTTAGTGAAATAATATGCATGTTTGAAATACTGGGACTTACCTTTGATTTTCGGTAATTTTTTACTAACGGTGTCACGCATTTTCTTACATTCTTTATTAAAAAGAATTCGTTACACAGAAGCTCTGCATAGAGAAGTCAAAATGTATGAAACAAAATATCATAGTGGGTTCAAAAAGTCTTAATTCTTGCTATGCTGATATTCCTGTAGGGATGCTTGTTTTTACAAATATCATTTATACATAAATGAAGAGCAAATGTTTTATGCAAATAAATTTTCTTGCACTTGCATTTCAGCATATTTACATATACATTATTACATATGTATATACATACTCGTTCCTTTTCTCAAAATACTCGTATGTACATTAGTGTCTGAACGAAGGGTTCGCTTCGGTATTCGGCTTGTGCGGCGGATTTTTTTCTTCAGCCCGATATACTACAGTGTACTAAACTACCAACCTTGTGCACAAGTGCGCTCGGGTATAAAAATAAGATTAGGATTAAAACAAACACAAAGACCAAGGCAAATACAAAGCCGAAGACAAGGACAAATTCAAGGCGAAGAAAAAGACAACGATAAGGACAAAGAAAAAATAGAGATGTAAAAAATGGTAAAAAATAAGATATAGGCACAGATAAAAATATAGGTAAGGAAAAGGACTGACATAGTTAGAGAAGAAGATAATGACGGTTAACATAAAATTACTTCTCTCTATCTTAACTCAAATTTCAGATTTCAAATGAAAGAAAATAAAAAAATTGCACCTTGCTAGTTATAGGTTTAAGAATCTTTCAGGATTTTTTGGGATTTTCTGTATTATTTCGAAATTTTCAGTACTTTTCGTAACTTCTTGGGACTTCTTTTGTATTCGGTCGAATATTAGTTAAAACCGATTATTCAGCTGCGGCATAAATTCCTGCTACCATGACGCTCTAATGTATGTATGTACATGCATATGTACATAGTGAAACATTTTAATGCCTGTCATGGTGACCATTTAATGGCATGCAACAATGGTCACACGCTCTCACCCACTAAAACACCAAAGGTTGTTTATTTGCATTCTTTAGGCTTCCTAATAGTGTAATAGATCGTTAAATGCTTACCATTATTTTAATACTTTTGTATAAACACACATTGGCGCATATACATATACGTGTAGTATTTAGTTGCGTTTGTTCAATTTATTTTCATATTTTCTACATAAATACAGTTTTAATAGTCTATGCACACATATAAAATAAGTCAACCAATAATCTGATGGTTAAAAAGAGGATAGTAACTAAATTTAACATTAAAAAATTCATATTCTTTATGGAGACGATATTTTGGATGGAACCGATATTCGCTACACCCGCCCACAAAATATGCAGTATTTCTCATACTACCTTAGTTTGCAACGTGCAGCAGGTACCCAATTTAAGTTCTTATACCCTCCTGGCTAAGATTGAGCAGTAGATTAGATGCTCCACGAGAGGGAGTTATAAATCTCTTAGCTTACCCTTTGTACGCTGTCGCTGAGTGGATAGCGATGCCTACTACCACTCCGTAGGGTCTGGGGTCGGTTCCCGATCCGAGCAACATCTAAATTAGAAAAAGTTTGGCAAACCTCCAAGTGTATTTCTAGCTTTTCATAAAATCCATTTGCCGTTCGTAGAAGGTTTAAAACTGTAGGTGCCTTCATTTATATAAAAACTTCAATACGCACACCACACATTGGAAATAGAAACATAAACTCGGTCAAATACTTAGGAAAAGTGTAAGCCGCAAAATATTATTACTATTAAAAACCGAAAAACCCGCTACTTTAGAATGACCTGGAAAATTGGTGTCTGAGAGACTACACGCTACAGAGTGCGGCCGAAATCCAAAAGTGCGGCGGCCAAAATAGAAAAAACTCTAGATAGGGCTTTCTCATAATTAAATTGGCTAAAGGGATTCTCTAAGCAACGAAAACCGTTCACAGTAACGGCGTGTAGCCCAAGTCCCCTCTTTATTTTCAGTCGGAATGTGGTCTTCGCGCAAGCACAACATTATTGGAGATTCAAATGGAAAAGTTATAAACGTGTAAAAGTACTTTGGGTTAAGGATATCCGTTAAAACCGAACGGAATCTACGTCTGAAGGCTAGTAAAAAACGTAAAAATTTTTACATATATCTATGCTGTAACGAAATCCTTTTAGGAGGAGTAGAAATATAATGGTATTTTTTTGGTGTTGTTTTTTTTTTTTTAACAAAATTTCAGTTGCTGAATGAAACAGTAATAACACGCTGCCTTGAAAGCTATTGTAGGTTACTTAGAAAAGTATTAGCTGCTGAATAAAATAAAATTCAGCTGCTTTGATCTGCCTCAGAAATTTTAATGCACTTTTTTAATACGCTTATATGTACATATGTATTAGCTTCACCTGTATGTAAAACTATCGATCTTTTTAATTGGATTTCGCAAAAGGATTTTGAGTATGCAGTTTTAAAGCCCATTTAATTTAAGTATAACGATGTGGAAGTTTAAAGTAGCTGGAACTTACGGTTGATTTTTGAAATTTTATTGGTGGAAGTTGTTGCTCATTTTCTTCCTATCAACAAACATCCTTCATATTTAAGAAAATGACTGGCACAGTCAACCAAAAAAAAAGCCAAAAACACAATAATTCCGAGATACTTCAAACTTGCACTTTGTGACATTAAAATTGAGTGGTCATATGAAAATGCGCAAAGATTTTTTATATGAAAAATAAGCAGGAAAGAATGTTGCTCATACGCCATGTACACCTGAAACGATCTGGAAAACTTATCTATAGAATAAAAAATTAATTCGATTTTCGGGATCAGCGAGCAATTCTATATAGAAATTAGACCATTTGAATTGAACATTTTTCCTTTGAATTAGTGTTATTTTTCAGTTTTCGTTTTTTTCCAGTGCCTTCTTTTGACTTTTTTGCTATTTCGGGTGGAAAAAGGCAGGAAAAGGCCTATTTCGCTATTTTATTTTGCCTTTTTTACAAAAAAAAAACTACCCAACTAACTTTTAAAATCTTTTTTGTTTCCATTTCTACAGATTATAAACTTCATTAATGACGATTTTTAAAAATATGAGCGCCACGCTATCCGTGAATCAAAAGCATTTGAGTGTCAATGAGGAACATTTTGGAGGTGTTGGGACGGCAGCTCGATCACGGTAAGTGGTTTTAAAAAATATGTATGTACTCATAATGTACAATGTAGAAAACTTAATATGGATATGTGTAAATACATGCATACATATGTATATATGAATAACTCCCACCATTTTTTGCACCTTTTTAATGTTTTTACCATCAATTCGCACTACTAATTACTCTCATTAACCAATAACAACAACCAAAACAACAACATCGATATTACCACGAATGAATGATTCCATGAATATTATGATACGCATACATTCATAGCTCGGAACGTGCTTCTAGCTTGGCACTACCGCACAATTCCCTATTGGATTTTTACGACACAGAGCAAGAGCAATGCAGCTCAGTGGCATTGTTGCCGACGAACGTAAATGTAGTAGTGCGAAGGCATTCATCGCACTACTATCCCATGTTAGAAGAGAAACAGCAGCAGCAGCAGCAGCAGCAGCATCAGTTTCAGCAGCAACAACAACCATTAAAGACACAATTACAAATGCAAATGCAGGCACGGCAATTGACTGCAATGGCCACAACTGATAACGGCGGCACCCTATCAACATTTACCGCTGCCATTCCCGAGTTGCAGCAATACAATTATAATCATAATAAAGGCGGTCAATTGGCGATTCAAGACCTCCAATCGATGCCATCATTGTCGCTTTCAAGCTTCGTAAGTTCAAAGAATGCAATTTTCCATTACAATAGAAGCTGCCACACACATCCATGCATACGTACATATATACATACACATATACATACATATGTGCACGAACACAATTGATCCTGGTCACCCATTTGATAATAACACATAAAACAACAAATATTTATGTATGTACTTTAGGCTGGATCGAAGAAATTTATATAATAGATATTTTGACAATTTTTTTAATTTGTATTAAATCATGTTCTTTTACAAAAAAATCAAGCCACTAACAAAGATAATCTATGTGTTGAATGGTCATATGAAAATGCACAGTGATTTTCTGTATGAAATACGTACATAAATATGAGCAGGAGCGAAAGTTACTCATACGCCATGTACGTACTCATAAAAACCTCACAATTATTCATTTAAAATAATTTAATTGTGAAAACAAATATTTTTAAAGCAAGCTTTCTAAATATGAAGGAATAAATACTGGTTTACCAAATATATCGACTTGTGCCCCACACAACGGTAAAATTTTTAGTGGAGTTATTCCCTTTCATGTAGTTAATATACGTTTTATATATGAACCAAATCGGACTATTAATACGGGATTTCCAAATATTTCGACTCATGCGCCACCTATCGGATTAACCCATATTTCATATTGCATTGTGATCGGGTTCTACGCCAACTGTGAAGTTTCAAGTCACTAGGTCATCGGGAAGTTGGTAAAAAATTGCCTAACAAACAAACATACATACATACATACAGAGCAAGTTAAATAAAAGCTTGTAAAAACAATCAGGTATGATTAATAAATTTCACAGAAACTACTAACTGAAAATATATAGCAAATTTTTGCATAGAAAAAGAACTCATTTTCGAAATCAACGAACGATTCTTAATAAGAATTGTTTAGTGGCGGAAAAAAATAAAAATTTATGACCCCGTTACACGGCACTAAAACAACAAGTATTTCGATTACAATTTCTAAACTTTAGCGCACAAAATGAACCGTTTTAAGTTGCCGTTGGCTTAGAAAAGCTTTTACATATAACAATGTAGGGACGCTTAACGGATACAAAAAAAAAAACTCCAAGATACCTAAACTTCATTTTGGGTCATAGATTACGGATCTGTACACCGTTTTTCTAGTTCAGATAGCTTTCTAAAGATATTTACATATTAATAAAACCAGTATTTGCCCAGCGGTTGAAATTCAACCGCTTAAGTGAGATGTAATGAGGTGAGTTAGGGTGAGGTGATTAAAGTGAGTTGAGGGGAACTAAGAAAAGTTGGTTTGAAGGGATTTGAAATGAGCTGTGGTGAGTTGAGGTGAATTGCCTTGAACAACATAACATTACATTTCATAACACTCATAACATACCATAACTTCGCATAGCATAAAATAACATCACATGACATAAGATAACATTACATAGCATAGCATATCAAAACATAATATAAAATAACATAAATATTGTAATATAATACAACATAACATAGCATTACATAGCATTAGGTAATTTAACATAACATAACATTAAATAACGTTATGTAAAGTATAATAGCATAACATAATATAACACAACATATCATAAGATAACGTAACGTAACATAACATAACATAGCATACCATGACATAACATACCAAAGCTAACTAAAAACCAAATGTTTCTAATGAAGAATCTTGATTATTTCGGTAGAACAACTAAAAAAATAAAAATTATTGCCCTTATTTTCGGCAAAATTTTTTTTTCGTAATTGGTTGACTCATGGGAAGCTGATATGGCCTAATATGCATATGCAAAATATTCCACAATAATTCCCTGTGTTGGCCACCGGATACAAATATTAATTGCATTTTGTCATTAGTGTGGCTTAATAGCGTTTTATTAATTATAATTTATAGATACATAAAAAATGTACATACTATATGTATGTATGTATATGCTTTAGGTCAGTTTTTTATCGTTAATTGTTTTCACCTTCATATTTTTTTGCGTATGCACACGTGTAATCATCCGAAAAACGATTGCCCATAAACATTAGCTAATATAGGCTGTCAGCGGTCGAAATTCAAATCAATAATGACCCCAAAGCCATTAATCATATTCAGGTGCACTCTAAGCTAAAATGCAAACAAATAAACGCTACGCATAAATACAGAACTACATACATACATACATACATATATGCAAATTCATATGAAGTCATCCCAAAATTACTGACGTAGTACTAGGGCTTGCAGTTCTATCCGAACTTTTTGAAAATCCGGATATACGATATACGAATATCTGATTAAAAGATCGGAAGACCTGGTTATTAACCAAATCTCCGATTAACAAAATGAACGGAACGGCTAACCGAATATGAACCGGATATCCGTATATCAAAATAGACCGGAATAGAACGAATATTAACCGGAATATCCGAATGGGTATACGAATACCCTAATAGTCTTATCGCTAATATGTACATATACACCAATGTAAATACATAATTGCACTGAAATACTTATGGGTCAATCCTTTATCATAAAACGAAGTTCTGACAAAGGAAAACATTTTAAAAATTGTTTTTCGAAAGGTAAATTTTACATTTTCAATGTTTATTTTTTAATATCTGAGAAACTAGTATACATGGGCGTAGCCAGGTAGGGGCAGGGGGGTGCTCGAGCCCCCCCTAACTTTCAAATTTTCCTTATATATATATAAAATAGTACCCTGAAATGCCAGCTTAATAGGGTCGAGCTCCCCCCCCTAAATTTCATTCTGCCTACGCCGATGCTAGTATAGTTACAATAATTGTTCTGGTCTCGTTTTATAGGTGATATTTAGGGATATAAAGAAAAAATATGCAAAAAAATAAGCGAAAAACCAGTAATCATTAAGCAAAAAACAAAACCGACTTCAATTCTCATGATTCAAAGATCGGATCTAAACCAAATTGGTATGGGACCACCTCGGAGGTACCACCTTTCTTTTACAAATTACAGAAATCGGTTAACGTGGTGCAAAGTTATGCGGTAACATACATAAAAAAAATATAAAAAAAAATATTCCGACGAATTGATAACCTCCTCCTTTTTTTGAAGTCAGTTAATAAAAAAGTTTACAGAATTTTGAAATTAAAAAACCGTAAACAGTCCACAACATTTTCTTATACAACTGATCTTACATGAATGTGTTTTCTTATGATTTGAATTTTTAAACTTTTGAAAACAATTTATTTGCAAACTCTGCAATACAATAGTTCACAAATTCATATCTTTAAAAAAATACCTTGAAAATTTCGGTTTTTTGTAATCAGTTAGAAATATTGTTTAAAAACAATTGAACCAAAAATTTGTAAAAGTTTTTGATTTTATGATTTTTAAATTTCAAACTTTTATATTTTTTCTATTTTTCGAGTTTTTTAAATATTTATATTTTTTATATAGCGTTTTAAAACGAGACCAGAACCATTTTTATAACTATCAAAGTTTTTGAGATATTCAAATCGTGTAGTTTCCATGATAAAAGAAAAGTTCTAACCAAATTCATCCAAATCAAATATGATTTCCAACCATTGGTAACCGGCAATGGATTGACCCATTTACATATGTACATACATACATACATACATTCATACATATTTACCTTCGAAAAGTAATTCTTCATTCGCGTATCATTCTGCGTTTTTGGTTTTTTCTTTCAGGTAAAAGGCAAAGAGAAGAATAATTTTCAATATAACACGGTGACCAATTGTGCCACCCAAAATCCACCTTCAGGCATATCTAACACTGCAGCTACAGCAGCAGGATTGGCTGCAGCCCCAACTTCAGCACCGGATACTCCACCGCCACCCATACCCCGGCGTACATTTCGTGGCAGTTACGCTTGGAATACAGCAATTGACTCGCCCACACTCACGTCTGCAAATCAAACTCCAACCAAAGATAAACAACATATCAGCACAGGCACCGCATTTGTTTATCCACCGCAAACACAAACGCTCTCACCCTGTCGCCGTCAACAGAGCCACACAGTTTATTACAACACAAGCGGTGTTAACCCATTGGATTCGCCACAAATACCCAATCAATTGCAATCGCAGTCATTGCTTGTTGACCTAGCCACACGTCCGCTCTACGTGGATGCGGGTCTCGATGCCGGCGGCATTTCCGATGATGATCGTATGAGTTTGGAGAATTCTGTATTTGACGAGTCGCTGACATCGACACCTGTCAAGGTCGCCTCGAAAGTTGCGACAGAAGGTACTGCGAGTGGGAAATTAGCTAACAGCGCATTCACAGCAAAAACATTGGTCGCTTTCACTGGTGAATTAAGTAACGCTGCAAAGCGAGCTAATCGCTCATCCAGCAGCACCGCTGACTCCACCATTACAAATTCATCGGGTTACGGATCGGGGCATAGTGAGCGGTTTGCCTCCTCTTCGACAAGTGCCGACTTTCGCAGTCGTTTCTCATCAGTGGATACTCAATCATCAATGGACAGCTGCCCAGCAGAGAAAACAAGCGACTTTTCACATTCCAAGGACTGCTACAAAATGGAGCGTACAATGCTCAATGATGCCTTGAATGACTATAATAATTTGAATAACAATGAAACTCGCACTCACATTGCTTGTAATACGGTGGCCAGCAACAATAACACACTGGGTAGTCGCCAATCTACAAATGCAACCTCTCAAACTTTAAGCGGCTTGAACCAACAAAAGCCACCCATAGTTCCAGCTAGGAAACAATATGGAGATGCATCTAAAATTCCATATCCTTGCAGTCAGAATAGTTCACAGCAGTCATTACAAAGCAGTGGCTGCGGCAGCGGTAGTGGTAGTGTCGGCAGTAGTAAAGGTACTTCCACGGTCTCGGCCTCCACATCCACGTCCTCGACAGTATCTGCTGGTTCGGGTACTTCCTCGGGCTCGTTGTTGTCCGGTTCGGGTACCGCATCGAATACAGCTATCTCTCCACTTACACAAAACTCAGCCATTATTTATCAACAACCAAAACGTCCAGTACCACCGGTACCACCGGCACGCGGTCAAATTAGTTCTGAAAACAACGTCAATAACAGTACACAAAATGAAACAACAACATCTTCAAAGGCACCACCACCAGCGGTAACCATTCGTAATAAGTTGGGTAAAAGTAAGCCCCCACCCATCGTTTACCCAAAGCTGCATCAGCGACAAGACTCGAATTTGTCAAGTGACAGTTTTTCCGTCACTTCCAGCCCAGGATATAATTCTAAGAATCTCATGGATGTACCGTTGCTTCAAAATGCAGCTGGTATCAATAAGAGCGCTTTGAATATGGGAAGCCGACGCCAAGATTCACCAGATGGTTTTAATTTGAATAATTCACGATTTGCGGCTTTGGCAACGGCTGGTATGGGAAATGCTGTGGTGCCACCGCCACGCAACAAATACAGTTGTCGTCAAGATTCCAATATTTCAAGTGATAGTTTCAGTCAAACTTCCAGTCCTGGTTACAATGTAAAACTAATGGAAGCTCCCCTAATACCCTCGCTCTCTGTCAAAAGGTTGTGTGGCGGTAAGTTGATCTTTGTAATCATTAGAAATATATAGTGAGCTATTCTACAATATTTTTTTTTTTTGGGGGGGGATGTTATTTTCCACAAAGATATCATAAAATAAAGTGCAATAAACAAAAAAAAAATATCTTCGAGGAATCTGAAAGTAGTAGTACTAAGAATTTTATTAGTACGCATAAACACGACTGGTTTATTGCCATGGACACTCGAGAGCGATTGATTATTCCCAAATGCTGAAGCTACGGGCCACAGCTTCCAATTTGTTATCTTCACTAGCTAAACGCTTTGTCGATGGCGACATAATTTTTTTGAAAGCGGCAGCGAAATCACAAACTTGTATGAGTTGGACATAAAAGAAGAGGAGGAACCTTATCTGTCGCTGGAAGAATATAAATACATCTAATCTGGTCACAACCACAGTCGTCACGTAGCCCTGTCGTCGCCAAAATAATTATCTACTTAAGTGGAAAAATAATTTGACAGCTGTGGTCCGTAGCTCGTCGTTTTCATTATGTTGGGACAATCGTAACATTCTCTCTGCACAGTTTTATTATGCTGAAGGTGATGCTTACAGAGCCGAGTTCCTTTATCGCTGCCTGACTATCCGAGAAAATAGAAATTCTGGTTCTTGCTAGTTTCGAGGCTAAAATTATTTAACACGCCTCTTTGGTGGCAAAGACCTCTGCCTGAAAAACACTGGCCGAATTCGGTAGTCCAAAAGACTCTTCGATTTGGATGTCAGTTGAAAAAATTCCCGGCCCTTTGCCACAATCTATTTTTGAGCCGTTCGTAAAAATGTATACTTCGAATAGTTAAGTAAACTCCTTTCTTGATGGAAAGATCGTGGCGAAGTTTTTCTTTGAGAGACGAAAAGGACAAATGTAGTCAGATTTTTCGCTAATGATACGTCCATGCCCGTACGTACGTTCTTTCCACAGTCTAAGTAGTGAATAATAAATAGTAATTCGGTCTTCGAGGGATTAACGTTGCGCACGGAACCCAATTCCCCATCCGGTTGAACCATTCCGTTTATCACATTTATACACAATTTTGAACGAATGTACATGTCCGGTAGCCGTTCGAAAGTTTTCACTACAAAATACCAAGGAATGATAGGTATGAACTCCTTAGGCAACGTATACCCTCTTTTGCCGACCTTGTGGATGAAAACTGCTTTAACACTTTGCCAAGTAGACGGAACCTAGTTGAAGCTATGAAATAACCCACGACTGGGCCTCCTGTGGCATTGCTGGAAAGATCGGATTAGCATTCTATTTCCTTTCTACCTCACTTCAAACGGAGTATGGATCTTGCAAGGAATAGTTCTCTCAAATGGTGTTAATGTCTTCGGAGCGTTGTGTCATATGACTGATGGGAGTGTAAATTTTGACCGCAGATCGCAGATCGGCATCTGCCTCATATTTGCTAATCACAATATTTCACTACGGATAATTTAATGATGATTCCTAATTGGTCGAAGACTTTCTCAAAGTCGGTTGCATTTGCTGCCAGTGAGTTTTTTGTGAAGAAAGCCTTAAGGCACATTTGGGCATTAGTGGGATGCATAGAAATTATTTCGCTATTTTAAAAAATCTAACCCCCTACTTACCCCATTTTATATTATAAAGTAAAAATATACTTAAAATATTATACATATGTATGAACTTCTTTGTTATAATTTTTTTTATTAAATTATTAAAACCGCTCAATTACAGTGCCTGCGCCAATTGTCTACAAACAAAAACTGCAAAATGAAACCATCGAAGAGATGGAACAATCGGTTCCTATGTCACCACTCACTAAATGCGTATCCACTCCAGCTAGCCTGCAGACAATCGTACATTTTCAAAATGGAACACCCAATACGATGTCGTTGCAGCATCAGGTAAATTTAATTGCAGTACTTACATTTCTTGCGCAACATTAATTTCAATCATTAGTTAGTATTGTATAAGTTCATTATGTGAGCCAAAAAAGTTTAGTTATAAATCAACAGGTATTAAAGCTTTGCATGCATATCGTGAATTTCCTATAGACAGTATGTTAACTGCGCTGTGTGCAAATAACGAAGTTTCGCTGGCGTCTGATGTCGCTACCGGAGCGCTCGTCAGAGCTGGATATAAGGTGTGATCCATGGCGTTCAAGCCACGGTCTTGCAAAATGGCCAGTTTAAGAGGAAGTATTTATGTAGGTAATTCCATCTCGCCATCCCCCCACCAGCGACGACAGCGAGGACCCGGTGTGATATTTATTGTCTCCGCGTGAATCCCAATCCGACATTATCTTTTCAATTCACTCACCAGAATAGAGAGAGGAGATCCTCAGGCCGTCTTTGGAGTTCACCCAGCAGCTAAGACGGCTGCAGCAAGGGCGACGGTCAAACTAAGAGGTACTGGTTGCCTGAAGGATTCGCGGTCTGGACACTCTAGTAATTTTGGGGGATTCGATGTCATCCCGAGCAACATGGATCAACGCACGCCTAGCCTGGCGCAAGCTAGTTCTTTCCCAATATACATCCCATTGAGGAATGTATGGATGGAGGCCAGGGATTGCAGGCTTTTACACGGAGGTTACTGCTGTTAAGGAAGCAGTACATTATCTGCTATTATGCACGATGGCCGTAAGGGAGGTTAACATCTACTAAGATAGCCAAGCTACAATCAGACCCTGGGCTCTCTTACGGTACGCTCGATGCTTGATAGAGAATTCTTTAATAGACTTCGATACTTTGTCAGACTTGTTTGGAGACCAGGCCATAGTGATATCGAAGAAGCTCCCTTGAGGAAGTATCACCAAGAAGAGAGAGTGTGGGAGTTCCCTTGACTACTGGTGGACTTCTCTTAGAAAGATGGGCCTCGGGTCAACTTAGCGAACGCTGGAGGAAAACCAAGGAATGTGCTACCGCGAGGTCATTCTGACCGAGTGTGGGCCGGGGAGGTTAATCGATTTCCTTAGACTCGCACAGCTGGATCTCTCGATTCTGGTGGGTATACTAACAAGCAATTTTCCTATCGGGGTTCTTGCATTGAGATTTAATATCATCGCAGCTGTATGGATGATGACGAGGCGAATCATCTCAACATTTCCTCCTAGACTGCCCAGCTTTTGCTAGATTGCGGCTTAGGCACTTGGGGTCGTACTTTCTCACAAGTCCGGACGAGCTTCTGAGACAAACATTTGCCGCCTGCGAAACTTCATTCTTGACACTCAGAGATTTACACTCTAACTCAGCAGTTACAATTCGCAGTGGTATCATAAAGTACCAACGTCTGCGATTTAAGTGAGTCCCTCAACGAGCGGAAGCCATCTTAACCTAACCTAACCTAGCAATGGGTTCATAGAGCCAAGAATAACCTCAGGAGAAAGAACCGAAATCTTACCTATTGTCCCGTTGCAATAGTACAGAGCTACAGATGCATTCTTCAATATTTTGTGAGTATTAAGTTTCCATCACAGTTTCACATCTGGGTTAAATACTTCCGGGTTACCCGGCAGCCTCTACTTACCAGCAGATCAGATGTGGTCGTACCACAATCCAAAAATGGGAATTTACCCCCCGTTGGATGGTTGTACTGCCCACTCCGTCGTAAAAGTTCTGCCTGTGAAGTCTTTATAAACTTTGAGGGCTTCCTCTACCGACTTTACGTTCGAATGTATGCTGAGCTCCTGTCAGGCGATCACAAACTGTTTCCAACATCAGTTTTATCAGCCTATCTAAGGCTATAAGCAGAAGAGAGACTGATTGGTGCGAAATTCTTGGGAGAGATGTAAAGTTTTTTCCGGCCTGTCCACCCTCCCACCTACCGGAGGTAGGAGCTAACCAAAGACGCGACACCTCCATAGCGTTAAGAACTGACTTGAAGGACAAGAAAAGGAACATACATTTATACAACCCACTGCAATCCTGTGTATAAAATTTCGAGGGATTAAATAATTGTTATCATAGCTGCCAAACTATTTCGTCTCTTCTCAATGTCATTCAGTCATTCGGAATTAAAAATACTTCCAAAGCTCTCAATATTCTTAACAAAATTTTCACGTGGAAACTTTACTTCAAACAAAAATGGCTCTCTAGATTTTAATGACAAACCAGCTACAAAAATTGGACATAAAGTCAAAAACAGTAAAAATTATATTGATATCAACGCTAAGCGCCTTTTATACAAACACAAGTAGTTGGTTTTATTTTATTTGAAAGAAATTCGTATTTTTTAATGAAAGCCCCCTTATGTCTTTATTATTTAGTGTAACGATATTTATCTTTTTTTATATATATATTAGCGGATTATGAATCGTCGCAAAAGTTCAAATCCTTACTGTACCAATGGTCGGATGAGGTTCCGCGCTCTCCAACTCTTTCTCAATGTAGTCGCTATATTCCTTATAGCTGCTGGCATAGGGACATACTTAAGTTCCTATCCGACCATCAAGTTCGTCAATAAAACTATAATAAACACCGTCCATGTGGAAGAAATATCAGGTTATGGAAAAAATCCTGCGCCCGGCACGTGTTTACCGATTATCGTAAAGTTTTGTCAAGGTCCACAAATTCCTTATAACTACACCGTATTTCCCAATTATATCGGACATTTTGGTCAACTGGAAACTCAAGTGGTAAAAATTTTCAACTACTTATTGCTGTATGCTTTTTACTTAACAATTATACACAGGATCTAGATGCCTATGATGCATTGGTTGATGTGCGTTGTTACGAGTTGGTATCGCTTTTCCTGTGCACACTTTTTGTGCCCAAATGTGGTTCAACCGGCGCAACAGTACCTCCCTGTAAGACGCTGTGCACTGAAACGATGCGACGTTGTGGTTTCTTTTTCGATGTATTTGGTCTGAGTTTGCCCGAATATTTGAATTGCAAACTGTTCAAAGATTTCGAAAACCCCGAAGATTGTGTTGGTCTGGATCAGGTGCGTGAAGTGATGCTGGCATCGACAAAACCGAAATGTGATGGTTTCCAGTGTGACCAGAATCGCTGTTTACCGAATGATTATGTATGCGATGGCCATTTAGATTGCATGGATCAAGCAGATGAGGCCAAGTGTGAACGTTGCCAAAAGGATGAGATTTATTGTGGCGACAATCGCTGCATAGGTATGAAGCACATTTGCGACGGTATTATCGACTGTCCCTTTGGGCAAGATGAACGTAATTGCAGTAAGTAGTTCGTCTCGAAGATAGATTGATCCTTCAAAAATATTTATTTGCTAATAACCATTTTGTACCATCAGTACGTCTTAGCGAGCGTAATGGCGATTTAGGGAAAGGAGTGTTGGAAATCTACCGCATCAAATCACAAAAATGGGCACCGGCTTGCGTTAAAAACTGGGATCGTGCGGTATCGCCTTCAGCCGTCTGCTCTATGCTGGGCTACAGTGCCGTTAACGCAACTAGCGTGGTGACACTTAAGACACATCGACCGCTCTTGACGTCCATAAATGTTTCCACTGATATTTGGAAAATGTATGCGAAGAAACATTCAAATTTAATGCAGGAATTCGCAAATTGTACGCCGGATGAGGACTATCCAATCGCCGAGCTGACGTGCGCTAACTATGGTGAGTGGCATATGCGCCCAAACCCTGCTCATAAATATCATAAAAAAACTTTAAAAAATGTTCTTTTAGAGTGCGGCAAGGTGAAACGTGGTCGCCATAAACCATCTCGCCGCATTATTGGTGGCTCACAGGCAAACCCTGGATCATGGCCATTTTTAGCTGCCATTTTAGGAGGACCCGAAAAAATCTTCTATTGTGCCGGTGTGTTAATATCCGATCAATGGGTACTCACGGCATCGCATTGTATAGGAAAGTAAGTTGTAATACTCATGCAAATGTATGTATGCATGTATGTTTGAACAAACACTTATATGTATGTATGTAAATTTTTCAGTCACACCGTCATTGATCTAGAAGATTGGACCATACAACTCGGCGTAACCCGCAGAAATTCTTTTACCTATACAGGTCAAAAGGTTAAAGTCAAAACCGTCGTACCACATCCAAATTACAACACTATAATCACGCATGACAATGACATAGCACTGTTTCAAGTAAGTAAAACATCATGCTTTTTTCATACGCGATTGCCGTTCTTATGCAAATATGTCATTCATTACCTTCTATTACAGCTTGCCACAAGAGTCGCTTTCCACGAGCATTTGTTGCCGGTTTGTCTGCCACCGCCCGGCATTAAACTGAAGCCAGATCAAATGTGTACGGTAATCGGTTGGGGGAAACGAGAGAATAAAGATCGTAAGTTTCGTATGTACATCGACTTGATTCGAACAATAAATATTTCGTAATTTGTTATTACAAACGATATGATGCTCATTTATCTGTCCTTTTTTTAAAGCTTAAAGCTACATCTAACAGGACAATTTTGACAATTTTTTTTTTTATTTAATTTCATTAAACATTTGGAAATCTATTTTATTTATTTTTTTTCTTTTAGTGTCTAGATTTTGTTGTTTGAAAATAAATTTTTTTTTTTTTTTATTTAATTTAATTTTATAAACTTTTTCTTTTTTAATTTTTAGATTTTTTTCTTTTCAATATTTTTTTTTTCCTAATTTTACTTTTAATTTCCTTTGAATTTTTAAATTGCACTTAATATTTTTTTTTAGTTTTTAAATTTAACTGCATTTTCTTTTAGTTTGTAGATTTAAAAAAGAAAAATATTTTTTTTTCAATTTTATTTAATTTTAAGGGACTTAATTTTTTAATATACATATACGGTATCTATCATAGCTATTTCAAGGTGACTAAAAGTTACCTCCGATTTTTTTTTTAGAAACTTATTTTATTTTTTTCTTTTGAACATTTTAATCAATTTTTAGATTTAAAAAGAAAAAGAAAAATTTTTTGTATATTATTTTGTTATTGCTAAAAGACAAACTGTAGAACGCTAGACCTCCACGTTGGCAGATTTTTCAATTAGTATTTCAAAAGACAGACAGAAAAAGTTTTCACGATAGTTCCCAGATTTGACAATTGGTGTGAGTTGAAGGGCAGTTACTAGAATTTCCTTCCAATTCTATGTCTGTTCGTGGGCATTTATTTATATTTAAGTTAGATTAGGGGGATGTAAAAGAATAAACAGCTCACTGCTTCCTTTTGGAAAATACATTCATTCGAAGAATTAAAAATTTAATTTTTTTGGTCGAATAAAAATAAAAAATTTGTTATCGAATAAAAATCGTTCAACAATAAAGTATGACACAAATTTCTCTTTAAAATATTATTAACTATTTTTTTTTTTTCTCAAAACGTGAGTGGTGTGCTTACGAACACATAAAATAACAAATGAAGGGAATCATTTTTATTCGATCAAAAACTATATATTTTTAACGATTTTATAGCGATTCTACGATTTTCCCCATTCGAAATATATGGAAAATTTCAAAGACCCTACGGCATGTTAAAATGTTAAAGGATTTCAAACTAAACTCTGGCGGTTGGCTGGAAAAAACTTTGTACCACCCTACTCTATGTAGCTATATTTAAGTGCCGAGAAAAAATTCCACATGTATATTATAATTGGGTTTAATTTGACAGCCAAATCTACTTACGAGCCCATTGTCAATGAAGTGCAAGTACCCATTATTGGGCGACAACAGTGCGATCAGTGGCTGGATAATCTGACAGTATCTGATGGCATGATTTGCGCTGGCTATGAAGAAGGAGGCAAAGATGCATGTCAGGTACGAATATAAAAACCTGAAAATACATACAGACATAAATATATTCTCCAAAGCAAAATCATTAAAACATTCTTGCGAGGAAGTATTTGGTACATACTCTTACAAGGTTTTATGATACGCACTCACTTTTTAGGGTGATTCCGGTGGACCTTTACTCTGCCCCTATCCGGGTGAAAAGGATCGTTGGTTTGTTGGTGGAATCGTATCTTGGGGCATTATGTGTGCACATCCAAAACTACCCGGTGTATACGCAAACGTGATCAAGTATGTGCCATGGATTCAGGAACAAATGGCTAAGTATTCGAAACCGGTGGGCGAGGAAAAGTTTTCGAAATATGATGCACATCCTGGTGGACCAGATATACTGTCGAATATAGCGACTGGACCAGTGCGTAGCAAAAAACCACATCACAACCAGAATCGCAGTCCAATGGACATAGATTATTATGAAAATTATAAGAAAACTTAAGTTTAACTTGAAAGTTTATGTAGAGATAAATGTGCATGAAAAATAGCAAAGGTATTGAATTGAAGTCAAAAGTTCAAAGACAGTGAAAAAAGACAATAATACTGCATTGAGTGTGAAATTTTATAGATAATAATATACATACATACATACATACATACATACATACATACATTTAATATAAGAAAGGTATTGCTAAAAGTGAAATTCCTACAACAAATTACATATATACATACATATATGTATACATATAAAATTAACTGCGATTTGTTTGTATTTGGCAAACAAGAAATAAAATGAATCATATCCTTGTGGCATATTGCCATTTAAAAAGTGGTACATATGTATATGTTTACACAGTGTAATTGAGAAATATTAACTTAGTCAAAGGATGCCTAGCACTTTGCTTGTGTTACGATGTTTTTTTTTTGCTTTCAATCAAGGGCAAAAGTTATGAGTGGAAGTATTACAATTATTACAATTAAATACACACACAAAGAGTACATAAATAGTATTAGCCAATCAAGTCAATTTCCGAATTTAAATGTCAATTTGACCCAAAGACAGATGTGTTTTGAGTGCAATGAATAAAATCGAATAGAAATGTAAATGTAAAACAACCCTAAAACGGTGTAGCTACATACAGAAACACATACGTACATGTTTACATACATCCGAATTAGTAGTTCCAAGGGCATACGTATATTTGAAAAAATGTATATACATATACATATCAATTTTTATGCATGCTTAAGTAGATTATGTGGGAGAAATCTCTGATTTTGAACTGGTGCGTTTTTTTTAATCTTGACTATTCGAATGTCGAATAAACCGTATTTTTTTATCGAACAATCCGTTTTTTTCATTTCGTATAAATCGTTCTTTTTTCAGTTTAAGGGAAACCCCTAAATAGTTTCAAATTATATCCCAGGTTATTTATGCTCTAAATTTGATGCGCCACTAGCTTGTAAAAATGCTTATAAAAATGAATGAATTAAAACTGAAGCCAAATATTGATAATTTACTGTACATAAATCCAACAAGTACATCCTTCCCATTAAAATTGTGATAATTTTTTTTAAATTGTTGATTTGAATTGCTAAAGTTACGTTACGTTACGCGACATAGATGTCCATAGTTGGGTGTAAAGTTCAAGGGGGTCCAGGGAAACCAGTAAAATGTTGAAAGTGGTCTAAGACATCAACAACTTTGGGAACCTCTGATTTAGATGAATGAAGTAAAAGACAAATAATTAATTATTTTAATAAATACCTTAGTTTTTGTGATTGCATATATGTATATACACACATACATATACTTACCATGAATTTCCATTTGAGATGAGATTATTAATGTTTTCATGTACGTTTGTGTTTGTGTATGTGCCTAAACGAAAAACGACAATAAATTAAATACATACCCACACAATAATACGAGTATATAAAAATAATTGCATACATAGGTACTATGTACAACAAAAAATATGTGTATACATACATATTTATAAATGCAAGTATATACATATAAAAACTCTTGCAAGTCTCTAAACTAATGGTAAATACTACTACAAAAGGCGTACACTTACTTGCATAAATACTTACACATATGCATATGTACATCTAAATAGAAAATAAGAGAATATTTTTATAAAAACAAAAATTAAGTATTAGTTAATTTTGTATGTGTGTACGCATAAATGCTGTGCAAAATCTAGAGCTATATACAGACAAAAATACATACATATACAATCCCTGCTTAAAACATAAAACAAAAGAAGCAAAATGCAGAATACACAAACAAACCTAGCAAAACGTTCAATTAGCTATATATTTATAAGCCAAATGAAGTACTCGTAGTGGAAAAGTATTGTAGTTAATGACTGTAAAACTGTTGTGTGCGCAAATGTTCAAAGAAAAAAGTTATTATTAAAGTAGTAAATTAACGTGTTGTATACATATGCATTAAGTAACTACTTACCTGTAAACATACATACATAAATACAAGCATGCGTTGTGTATGTAATTATACATATAAAAGACATACTGTCGCACCTTAATGCATACATGTATACATATATACAATATATGTATGTATGTATGAATATGCCTAAATATTAGACTAAACATACATATACTACACACATACATACATATGTATGCATGTTAACTATGCATGTTGCAATATTTGCATAAGAACAAGAAATACTAAGACAATAAAATGCAGTTCAAAAGCATGCTGATGAAATAAATAAAGACAATGTACTGAGGACAATAAATAATTCGTAGAATACATATGTTGTAGTATTTAGTAATGTAGTGAAAATGATTGGTTTTTAAAACAAAACACTGAGCCAGTTACACACACGCACACGCACACGCACACATACACACCACTAGATTATTTGCATAAATATACAAACTGAAAAAATAAGAAATTAATGTGCTAATGTATTGTATGTAAGCAAAATGGAGGGAGGAGGAGCATGTCTTTATTACCTTCCAAGTACACTATCTGTTAGAAGGTTACTCATACGCAGTGTATGTACGTAAACTGAAATGAGACAAAAATTTCATAAATATATAAATGATTGTAATTTTTTTAATGGTCCTTGTTTTGATTTAAATTGTTTTTATATTTCATATTTAATATTTATACTTAACACATGCATACATACATATTTTGCAGTGAAATTCAGTGAAAATATTTTTTTCTCTTAAGCTAGCACAAAGAAGCTTTTAACTGAGATTTTTTATATACATACATAAATAAATATGCCTAGGTACGTGGACTTTTTCGATAAAGTTCAGAAGACTATTTTGAGTAAAAAATTCAAGTTTCCATATTTAATTAAAATATTTCATCTTTCTACGTCCCGAGCTGTCACTATTTTCGTATATGCGTAGAAGCGTAACTCGACCTCCTAAGTATAAAAACCAGTGATTTTTTTTTTTTTAATTTGTAAAAATTTTTTAACTATTTTAACTGACCGCCTACGATTTGTGTTAGGTAAATAATAAATAATACTGGTTTACAGCAAAAATGCGCACCGAATACTCGCTGATACCGAAAATCGCCTTTTATTTTCTATGGAAAAGTTTTTTAACGCTTTTTAAAAAGCATTAAAGTTAGGTGAACGAAGATGGCTGCCTACGTTGATAACTTTGCTACACTAATTTTCTGGAAAATCCTCTCCAACAATTAGTGAGCGGCTGGAATCGGAACTGGGCAGACAAGGCGTCTTATGCTTGCTTTTTCAACAGGTTGGAGCAGATAGCGGAGGTGATAATATTTCAGCTCCACAGCTTCATCCGGGATAGTAAATGGTTTAATAGACACCATACTGTCAATATGAAATAAAATGGGTTAAAAGCATGTGCCTCCTCCTGGTACTCTTAGAAAGCATTCTCCAAGGACAAATCTGCCTCAGAGTATGTATCAGAGTCATTTGTACGCGTCTTCCTAACCTAATTCTATTTTCGATCCAGTTGGATAATCTTGATGCGAAATGTAGCAAATTAAAAGTAAAGGAGTATGTCACGCTAACTTGGCCGAATGTGGTAAAACCTAGTAGACATACGTATGTATCTATCTTTCTTATTATTTTCAATGTAAATATGTATCAGATTATATAGGGTTTATACGTAGGTATATGTACATACATATCGATACCTGAGTGGAAGAACGCCCTATTTCAGCTGCCGATTCAAAAACGCCCACATTTTTCAGCACATTTTCAATGTATTTTCAGCTGAAATGAGGAGTTTTGAACCGAGTTCTGAGAGATAGGATGTACTTAAAGCAAATTCTGAAATAGGGTGAATAACTTAGTGGGGAGACATTATGTTTACATGTATGTATATAAAAAAACAAAAAGTAGTGGGTAGGACTTTTTAACTTATCGATCGATTTTATTCGTTAATAGCTTAATATTTTTGTTAAAGAACATGTCTTAATATAAAATAACAGGCTTTTAAAGAAGAAAATAAAAAAAAAAAACGTTATTTATCCCCTGTTAAATTTAGAAGTTTATCGTTAAAAAAAAATTAATTGGTTAATCAATTTTTCAGAAGCCGCTAGACCTATCGAAAATCGATGAAACCTTTAAGATTGTGCAAATAATGTCCAACTGGTTTGGAAGATATATGTACGTGATTAAGTGGAACCACTTTTTATTTTTAACTAAATAACGGCAAATCATAGATATCTCGAAAACTTATCCAAAGATAAAAAATTAACTACGAATTAGATAGTGGCATCCGCAAGATAAGAATTTGTAAACCAGTGTAAGTAAAAAAAGTAAAAGTAAAAGTAATCTAATATGTAGTAAAATTTAATCAATATTATAAAAGTTGTAGTCAAATATTATTTTCCTCCATACTTTGACTGTTCGCCGTTATAGGTGCTAAGCATAGCAGCAAAGAATAAAGTTGCCAAAAAAAGACAAATTCTACTCTTAACCGACACAATTGACCGATATTTTTTACCCAACACCGCGAAAACTACTGTGAAATTTCAGCTGATAAAGGACAAGCGGCTATTTTAATGTTATTTCTAGGCACAGTACATAGTACACACTATACATACATACATATGTTTCACATCAAAGAAAGTACATAACGTCGGTGATACTGCAAAACGGTCTATGTGTATTAGCACCCTTGGCACTTAACTGGTATCTTACTTGCACCAGAACGCGTCTGCAAATCACGATACACCCCAATAAACGAATGACAAAACCGTCTACCTTTGCCTGATAAAGATGAACGATTGCCAGAAGAGATCAGATACAGATAACAGATTAAATAAGCACCAAAGGTAATAAGTGACATAGAACGTTTTGCAGTATCTTCGACGATATATAAAAACGTTTAATTATATAAGATGACGATTGTTCGGGACGAATCTTTTTTCATCGAAATTTTATTTATTTTTTATCCGCAAATGTGTACTCGTAATATATATAGTACATACGTAGGTACATATATCTCCTTTTTTTGAAATCTATCAAAAAACTACCGAATATGTAAGTACAATTCGACATACATACATACTTACGAGTGCATTCAAACTTTAGTACATATTCTACTTTTCATTTATGTAGTAGCGCAAAAATTTAAAGTATTTGAAAAACATGCATGGGTTTCAGCTTTAACAATATGAAAAGAATAAATTATATACATGCTGTCTATATATACATACATATACATGATATATTGATACTAATCTAGACATATAAACTATTTACATACAATTAGTTGTTAATAAAATTACTGAAGTAAACGTAAAACGTAGCTGAAATTTTAGAGTAACTACAACAACAAAAAAAAATCGCTTCACTACATACACACCATTTCTTCACGCACAAAAAATCTTTAATATATGAACATAGCTACATACATATTTTATACTAGAAATTACTGCGAATAATGCAGTCAGTTTTCCAAGTGACAATAAATTTACAATTATGTACACGCATACATGTGTTCAGGCATATATACATACACATACTTACATATAAATATATTCATATCTACTCAGCTGTCTAGCTTTCATCAGGTTAAGTAAGCTTCAAGCCAAAAATCATCTTGACTTGCACTTTTCTTTATCCATCTGAGGTATTTGGTTGTACTGATATTAGGAGTGTTCGCTATGCAAAAAATTTGTACAAGTTGGTACCAATTGTTACCAAATCGTGTTCGTTTAGCCAAAAACCCAGTAAAACTTGCAAGGAGAGAGCACAATTTTGACATTTCATTTGGAGGGGAAGTTGCAGATTCGTGCTGGGAAAATTTTTGCCAGTAAGAATTTGCAAGCAGGATTGTGGCTCACGGTTGCATTTTTGTCAACATTAATTTGAATCAACGAGTTCGTTAAATTTAAATATGAACAATCTTGTTGCGATTTACTAATGAAAGAAGTATGCAAATATTCGTTTATTCAATTAATTTAATTAATTCCAAACATTTGAAAGGTACTCGGCTGAAAAAGCTGTATTCGTAACCGGAACGCACTCGACACCACTGTCGATATGATAAATCCGACAGCGACTTCCACAATGAAATTGAAACGTATGTTAGAAATCTTGACGTGATGGAGCAAAACAGACTTCAGATTCGTGTTCAGCGACCCGAAAAAGATAAAAAAAGACACCTAGTCTGGTCAAAATAAACTTACATCGATTTTTTTTTTTTGAGCGAACGCAATAAGTTTCACTCAAAAATGTAGTTGTTATTGTTCTAAGGTACCATCGTTCATGAGATTCTAGAAGGCAGGTCCCAAAAAGGGCCTCTTTTACGGCTTCTTCAATATCATATTTTTAATAT